TTTTTTTGGGCCCCTTACACTACGTACACAACCTGAACCAGTTGGCGAACCAACTCTCAGGAAGTGAGGTAATATAAAGGATTTTGAAAATTTTTTAGTTTTTTTTGGGGTCCCTACACACTGTCTCACTCACCTAACTGTGCCAGTTGCCTGGCTGCTAGTTGAGATAAAAAGTCTGAAGGGTTTTGAAATTTTGTAAAGTTTTTCAAAATCAAATGTTCGCAAATGCAAACAAAAACAGAAAATAATTAGCACACAACGAAAGGAAAACCGTAATATCTGAATAGTGAAAACAAACTACTGCCGGAAGGTCCAGGCAACTACCTAGTATTTCAAACTGTTTTCTATTATTTTTTGCTACTGCGTAGCGAAAATCGTTTCGATGTATTGAGCTGAGGATTCGACGTCGAAGCTTCTCTTTTCAAACTTCTGGGAGAGTCCATCGGCGTCTCCTGTTCACGTACCAAAACGTTTTTTACACGACTTATCAGTTCTTCTGACTCGGCTTGTCTCTGTTCTTTGTAACATTCTTGCTCATCTTCTTCATCGACTACCGGCAGATTCTTTCTTTTTGAACTGAGTCTAGAAAAGAATGATCGAATCTGACTCGGTTTCAGAAATTCCTCCGTCGAAAAATGAAATTTTCCATTTATTTTCAGTTCTCGCATATGTTCGGCTACTGCTTCTGGTTTCCAACGGACTTGATTATCTTTTTTCAGTCCTTCTTCGAAACGTTCTGTCAAATATACAACTTGTTGTTCCGTAAAACGAACATTTTTACGTGGAACTGGAAGAGCCCAGCCTTCCGGTAATGCTGCAATTTTCTTTGTTTCAAAAATTTCTCTCGTACGCGATTTCTCTAGCAGTAGTGAGCAAATCTGCCGATTCTCAATTTGTTCCGATCTAGTTTTATACATAATTGCAGCGGTATCTGATAGACAATGTTGTTCAGGCAGAATAGTATGTGTACCATTGCAAACGTGTCGAACCAAATTGCCGTATTTGACAAATTTGTCAACACAACCGGGTTCGGTACATTCGAAAATTGCATCGGAAACACCGGCTTTTGGAATAGCTGTTGCTGAAGTCGATGGTAATGAAGACAAATCGTCCGATTCTTGATGTGATTTTTTCTTGATTGAATGATATTCCGACGATTTCTCTGAAAAGGTAATATCTTCGCACAGCACTTCGCTCAAAACCTTCAACGGATCAAGCTGTTTCCATGAGTAGAAGTTTCCTTCGCCTACCTTATATGCCCGATGAACTCTCACTCCCTCACGTTCAAATTCGAAATTATTCAACGAATGAATTTTCGGCAATCGTGCTTTTTGTTTATTCGCATTGAGCTTTAGTCGTGATTCAAAGATTTCAACTCCACTCACTCCATGATGTGAATTGGCTGCTTCTACAAATTGTTTAGCAGTTGTCACTGAATTTTTCTCATTTAAATATCGACGCACATTAGCCTTTATTACGGCAGCATATCGATCACATGGACCCTTGCCTGATTGAGCTTCTGAAAAATCAATTCTTCGTACTTGAATTTCTGTCAGTTCGAATACTTTCGGCACTGCTAGAACAGTTTCAGCCGCTTTGTAACATCCGGCATTATCACTTCGAATATAGCATGTTTTCAATGAGGGATCTTTCTCTTTCATACGTTGCAAAACATCTGTCATGATTGCCGTGACTGCCGTAGAATCTTGTGTACAGTTGTCGAATGAATGTACAAAGATTTTATATAAAAACTTATTCGAACCTGGCACTGAAGGATCGTATGTGCTATCATTCATCATTACCACGCTGACGTGCCAACTCAGACCTCGTTTACCGAAGAAATCAGATTGTGCTTCCCGATACTTTGCCGGCAAAAACTTCATTGCCCAATCCATATAATAATAAAAACTATCCTTCGGCAGTTGTGCCAAAACTTCTTCTCTAGCTCGATCTTGATTTACCGTACGCATTTGATGAGACTTATAAGCATCAACTGGTTCTTTCAATAGCTTTAATTTAGCAACGGCACGTTTGGCCTCATCTTCATCAGTCACTTTTTCTACTAGCAATGCTTCTATCTCTATAAATGTATTCGCTAAAAGAAGACAATCTTTGCATGTATTACTGTGATCATGATTGCACTTAGAACGAAATGCCTTGTCGGATGGATCGGATAGAGCATGACAAATACAGTGATCTGCTATATCACTCGACTCAGAAACATGTAGCTTGAAATCACTTTTCAAATATTGACGTCCTTGCCGTAGATTATCGATCAATCTTTGAGCTTCGGCAGATAGGAGGTTCAAATTTTCGATCATTTTCTGTAAACTGTCAAAAGCTTCGCCGGCATCAGCTGCGTAATAGTCAATACCTTGCAACGACTTTCTCGTTGACGCTTTACACACATCGATTATTTTATACAGACTTGACATACCCAAAGGAGGAAATCCAGGATTTACTTCATTACAATATCCATAATACTGTTCGATGATGCGTGTAGGAATGATATTGCGTATTGTATCTGGTACGAATAGTTCCGTTCCATCGGTTAACTTCATACATTTCTCTCCAAATGGCAAATCAGTAGAAACATGATCTGATGTGAGGAAATCTACAAAGTGCTCCACCTGAGCATCATCAAATCGATTAACCAGTCGCGGAGGTGGTTGTACTATCGTACCAGTTCTATGTACAGCAGCATGCAAACGTGCTGAACTAAACCGATACATAGTTAGATCAGGTAGAAATGATTGAATGAGTTTATATCCTATTTTCGGTGCAACAATGCTCAGCACCGCACGCCTCGTAGGCCAGTCGTCAGCATTTTGATACGCTTGTGTTACTCCTTTCATTACGGACAAAAACTTTCCATCCAACACTACTGGATTTTCACTTTCATTTCCACTGCATAGCGAATCCAAAACTTCTTCAGCATTATTCGGAGCTAAAAAAGAAACTATCGATTCAATGATGCTTCTAATTTTTGCCAAAAATTTATATTGACTATTGTGTGCCAATTTTTTGAAATCTGGTGTGATCCATGCTTTATCCGGATTATTGCATAACTCCAGAAGACGATTTAGTAGATCACGCTTCTCCTCCGATAGATTTTTCGAAATCTCACCTAAAGAAGAATGTGAGCTACGTCGCGCTTATGCTTACGAAGAACTTCTCGACGATTATTCATACAAGAGCAGAATAGCTCCTGTTAAATAATCTAAGCACTAAAACATTTCTTGTACTCTCTTAAAAAAGAGTTGAATTTCTTTTTTGAAACTGGACAACTTAGAGATAGCAGAAGGTCTGTGTACTTAACGAATGTTTGGCTGCTTTTACATAACTAAGATACATCTATAGGCTAACAATATCCAGTAGACTTGAGAATAGCATGTAGCTCTGTTAAACACAGGTTCTGTACGATATGAATGCGATTATACGATTTACGAATGCAAAAACAAGTATTTCGTACATACAGTTTGATGAAAACAAAAAGCAACCGATCGTATGTTGTTATTGTACGTGCAGTTCAGGTAGTCGTACAATTGGTTGTTGCTCCTATTCTGCAGCGACACTACGGTATCTGGGCTATCAAAGACATTTAATAACCCCATCATATGTACAAACTTCCGAAAAATATTTTGACCATGTCGAAGCCAGTCAGAAATACTCAGCGTACAGCAGTAGTTCTGAAGAAGACGTGAAATACACACTTAGAGATAGAACAGACAGTGATGGAAGCGATATTAGTCAATAGTCGTATTCAAATGCAATTCTTTCCTGTTTAAGTGTTTTTAATCAGCATTCCAGTGGCATCGAAAAACCTTTCACTTCAGTTATATTTTCATTGGGTTGGACCAGTGCTATCTCGAGGAATCAGCAACCTGTGCTGACTCTACGTCAATAGATACTTGTGCATGTGATATTGTACCTCTTGACTATGTCTTTAATATAACCAGAATGACAAATAAGGTATGGAACAGTTTGAATATACGAGATAAAATGACAGACAGAGAAATGTGCAAAAAATCTTCACAGACTGTTCGACAACTACAAGACAGAAGGTTAGTAGTATCCGTCTGCTTTAATAAAAGAAAAACAGATTAAAATCTATGTGTGAATGTACATGCGGTTAGAAGAATGAAAATATATGTAGGCATTCACAAAGACAGAAAACATCAAGCTATATCGCACTTTACAGCTTATGCATTACCATATAGTCTATCTACCAGGACATCATACTTTCAAGAACTCTCTTTCTACACTAAAGACTAGTTGCATCCTCTCTTATTTATGGGAGTAAAATGGCTAAAACATCAATTGTATTGACTTTTAGGGGTCATTGGGCTCATATTTGACCTACAAAGGATTAAGCCAATGATATGTAGGGTTTGTTTAATCGGAATATTGTAGAGTTTTGCAAGAACTATTTTTCTATATCAAGCTTTAGAATAACTTCGTACTGGGTTTTGAACAAAATCGTTTTTGCTCAGCATCGATATGTTTTATGTATCAAAAGTTAATTTAAAAAGTCACCATAAGCTTATAATGCTACATATGCACATGAAAATGTGTAAAGTCGTTTTCTCTACAAAATATGATCAAGACTATGAGATGAAGAAAAGCAGTGGGCCAAAATCAATGAAAAGCGGGCCCCTCCTATGCAGTTTATAAGGGTGCTAAATCAAAAAAAATTGTGATGATTGGAGAATGCATTGAGTTAGTCACGATGTGTAGTCTTCGACAGATTGTTTTATGCTTACATTTTAGTGCTTCATCTATCTTTGTTTTCTGGAATTTTGAAAACTCTTCTGCAATTAGTAGATCGATAGGTAATGCACTCAGAATCCAGAAATATCGTGTACAGGGGCTACTACATGGAAACAACATTAAATATGGTTGATTTCTCAGCCTTTATTACATTATTAATTTGCCCATTTTTTTACCCAGTCGTCAGATACATAGACAGCCTAGTGAAGAAGGAACCACTTAAGTAAAGAAAATATTTTAGGGATAAATTCTCTGCTTGAGGTACAGTCTTTCAGACATAATGTGGGAAAATTTAAAGTTTTGAATCGAGGACAGTGTTATTCTATTATGCATTTTGGGCTTGACGCTACGATTGATATCTCATCAAGAGACATTATACACAACAAGTAAATCGAACAACGACATAACCTGTTTGTTTATTTCGTTTTCTCTTAGCATAAAGATAAAAATAAAGACTTTACCCGCCTTTCTGCTCAGGAACGCGATGGTCCGAGTTCAGAATATGCTCCTGTCCAGCTTCATGCCCCATTCATTATGGTTTCATTCACCTAAAATCAAATAGATTGCATACATGAACATAGATAAGGGATATTCCGTTACGGACATCCAGAGACCATCAGACTTTACCCGCTTTTCGGTTCAGGAGTGTGATGATCTCAGTATACATCTCTCTTTCTTTCTCTCGTCTTCCCCTTTTTATTTTATTTATTAAAAAAAAGCAAATATGTTGGAGAAAAACAATCTAATAGTTGTTCCATCGACGAACTATCCTAAACCTAAGATAAAATCGGTCGAAATGCTTAAACATGCAAGTAAATGCAGTGGTAAAAGACATTTGAACCGATAAAAGAGCAGGTTTTCGGATTTCTTCTTGTTTGATTTGCTTGAAGCTAAAATAATAAAACAAAGGCAAAGCGAAAAAGAATTTTTTCTGCCTGAAATTCAAATATTGGTAAGTGTGATTTGATCTCGATCACCGATTTTTCCATCCTACCTCATATTTACACTAACAAATCAATATTAACTTAAACATACATTTAAATCAGTATGAATAAGAATACTGACATCAATATCAATAAAAAATAGGAGGATCTTTTCCCCACTCAGATCCTATGCAAAAAAATAAAATTAAAACTGACATACAAGCAGCAGCGATTCTATGAGCAGCAGCAGCAGCAATAATGGCAGCAGAGAGGTTAATCTGACTTACAAAAGTACAATAATGTCATTGTCGTTCTTTGTCGTTCTTTGTCGTATGAGTTTTTGTTGGATTTGGTGTCAATCAAGAAGTTTTTAAGGAGAGAAGAAGCGATAAAAGTGGAAACATTAAGTTTGGTAAATGCTGTTGAAACTTCCGGATTTCTCCCACCCAGAATTTTGTTTGTCGCGAAAATCGCATCGGATTATTTACTGTCGATGCAGCGCAGAGCTGAGTCAGGATATACTTAGCGCTCTGCTAACGGGTGGAAGATTGTTTATAAACTACGGTTTTATAAACTCGGGCGCCTTTTGTTGAAAGCGAATGCGCAAAAACAAGGCACGTGTTTCTTCATTTCAATTTTCGTTTTTTTCTCGAAAAGGCGAAACTGAATGTTAGATGCTGCACGATGGTAGTCACTCACGACAAAGTCAGCTTTTAGATGAAATACATCAACCAAAAACTGACACGATGCATATCTTTTACATAAGCCTAAAGCTTCCAATGCCCGATACTGTGCAACGCTTATTGGGTACAACGCATTACGATTTTGACCCCTGCGCTTATCTTTAGCTCCGGCATAGATGGTTTACTGCACGTGGGGAGCTAAAGTGTTCAAAATACTGGATGATCTTACGATTGCGCAATGCGTTCTAAGTCCTCATCCTGCAGATGAACGGTTTGCAAAAAGACCTGTTGACTGTGGTGGTGACGCCAATAATGACTTGATAGCGAACTGTAATCTCTCAAGTGCATGTATATAGAACAAGAACAATATATCTGAAAGTAGAGAGAGAGAGAGAGAGAGAAAGAAAGAAAACCACATCCTGTTCTGAAATGCTTCTCGTTTGTTTAACTTTAAACAATAATTTGTTGAAAATAATCAAATGTAAACGTTAATCTGTTTTTCTCTTATTTATCTATCAGATCCATTACAGACAACAACGAACAACATAATACGGAATGAACTAACACAAAAAAATATTTTATCAAAAAGAGAAAACAGAGGGTTGTTGAAAGTTATCAATGACAGAGTAGAGAACGAGAGAAGAAACAACAAATACAATTTCTACAGGGTCTGTCAGTTACTTGTTGAAATAACCCTAACATTTTTCAAAGAAGAAACTTAATAAAATGTTTACAATGTTACTGTTTTGATAACATTCGAATCTTATATTCTCTTTCGGTTGGCATAGGAGTTATACTCAGATAACCCAACACATTTTTTTATACGAAAAAGGCGACTATAAATTTCACGGTGGTTTTTTACTACAGAACGGGATATATGTAGGTTTGTAGAGAAAGGCTTCCTGTATCTAGTGGTGTATATATTTTTGAATCCTAATATGTACCATCAGAGAAAATTAAAGGTAACCCCTCCTTTTTGTAGAATTTATTTTAATTTTTGAGTCAAATATTGTGCATTATAGAGTAAAGTGTCCCCTACAAAATAAGATCACTCCTACTCTCCAAGGCTATTGAATAGAAAAGTACTGAACGGACGTGTTCCATAGTTTCTCTTCAGTCTTTAATTTTATTATCGCTATTATTCCTTGGTCTCCACACACTTTCTTGTTCAATTCTACTAACTTTATCGCCCATTTATGCTCTATTGCGGTCTATATCTTATTTGTCTATTTATTGCGTATTTACTTTGTTAATAAATTATTAATAAACATTTTTCTTTCTGTTATTCATCCATTATTTACCTATTATTATTGATTACAAGTGACTGGTTATTTCCAGGAACCAATAAAATCATTCTTATAGTATACAGAAACATTAGAACAATCGATTCTATGACTGGCGACAAAACAGAAACTTTTGAATTACAAATCGTTCGTCTCGAAGAAAAAATCAAATATCAAGATGCAATCATCGATCTCCAAAAAAGTACGATCAAGTGTCTACAACAAGCAGCCGAGCAACACACTTCTCAAGTTCAACAGCAACATTCTCTTGTGCATCTGCTCGACAATCTCTCTACCACGATTCAAAACCTCAACAAAAAGCTCGATGAACCATCCTCTCTACCTACTTTCTCACAGCAGCAGCCATCAGCCTAACCTTCTCAGCAACAAACAACTGCAAACCCTTCATTTACTTCTGAGGATCGTCCACTGTCGAACAAAATAAAGCACTGTATTATTGGCGACTCTTTAACGACACACGTAGATAAACGTAAACTTCAGTCGATCCATCTTCAAACCGATATTCGTTCGTTTCCTCTAGGCGGTACTCTCGAGCGAGTCTCTCAATTGATTCATCAAGGACGTCTTGATGAAACTCTCTTCTTCTAAATCAGCCACCTTTATTCTTGGAACCAATAATCTAACAGTCGAACAACCAACAGCGGCGATAGAAAAAGTCAAAAATCTCGTACATATTATGAAGAAAAATTACTCTACATGTAATCTGAATTTTG